TTATTAAGGCTGATTTGCAATATCTCTCTAGTATTTTCAAAATTTTTACAACCAAATATGTTGGAGACGGCTCAACTGAATATAGACAAACTATATAGTTTTGGAATCGGGAAATTGTGTTTTTCAAGAATATAGAACCAAATATAGCGCATCCCATTTTAAAAAAGCTGGAAGCATGCAATATTTCACATTTCTGTCATTCAATTTTTGTTTTTGACTATGGATTTTAAAAGTTTAGCCAATACTGTACAACTTTTGTATTTACACATTTCATCTACCTGTAAAGGTAAAGACTGTAGGGTAGGTGGGGTGCTCAGAGGAATAAAAAACAATAGAGGACGTTATTTACATTTTGACGAGGTGCCAGTGAGAAAGCATAGTCTAAACGATCAAGTCTAAACGCCATCCTAGACGAATCAACACGTTGCCAAGTATATTTTGGAAAAAACCTTTATTGGACTTCTCATCGAATAAATAGGGAAAAAATGCCTTTTTAAATTTAATAAAAGTGCAAATAAACTGAGTAACTAGAAAAACTCCTCAATGCAGATTTTTGATGATTTCAAGTTTTTTTGTTTTAGTAAAAAAGGAGCTTAGAAAATATTGTTATTATTCAATATCCTTATTTATTTTTCAACGTGACAACATCGCATAGTAAAACGGCGTCAAAGCTGACAGTTAACGTCAGTTTGATTGTGCCTTGTTGCCTTTTGTTAGAAAGCATCGTGAAATCGTTTTTGTGAGGTTTTTCTGATATTTTATGTTTGGAGAGTGAATTATTTGTGTGTTTTAAGACTAATATTATACAGCAATATGGTTAGACAGTGGCAAATGTATGAAAAATTGGATTATTTGAACCCGGAAATTTCATTTCATAGGTAAGTAGGGGGTTATATTATGATAGCAAAGCAGTGGCGTAGAATAGGATATAATGTACCTACTTCGCCAGAAAAATATCAAATTTGTTCCAAGATTGAGGAAATTATTTGGAAAGATGAGATTATGTATCAAATAAAAACATACCTATTACATTACTGAAAGGTATTTTGATAATTTTTTCTATGAACTTCTATAGGAAAGATCCAAGCAGAATAATTATAATCCTTATGCTTGATTAAAGTTAAATATGCGTCTTTGTAGGATTCCAACAAATCCAGAGCGCAGGCGTATATGAATTTGCTTTCTAGGATTAGAAATTAGAAAATAAGCGACTACCCAAAATCGCTGATAATAATAATAATAATAATAGTCTTTATTGAGATTTTAAATTATCAGACAAAAAAATTTTTTTTTACAAAATTTCTTAATACTAATATAAACTGATATCTTAATTAGTTACATCTCAAATGGCGAAGTCTAGCTTAATATCTAGATCTCAGCTACTCAACATTAACCATTTTTGTGAATGATAGGTACAATAATAATAAATCCTGATGTGTGCTCAGATCATTTTACCCTCAATGATATATGCACTAGGCCTAATGGATTTAGATATTTGAAATCTGGTTCGGATTCTTCACCTGTTTCCAATGTTTTCAATACTTCAAAGTAAGTTGGTTATTTAATATTTGATATAAATTCTACATATTAGCTACATTAATTTCCATTTCAGACAGCTCAGACTCTTCAGTCACAGAGTCTCCAGTCTCCTCCAAAAACAAAAGTAGTGTGAGTTGGTTTGTAATAACAAAAAATATTGAATTATTGCTTATATTATGCAGACTACAAAAAATGAATTGGAATGATTTTATAATCCAAAAAGAAGATACAAAATATTATCCTGATTAAAAAGGTTATGTGATTTTAACTAGTTCAGTTTCCAAGCTCAAAATTCAATATTTGTCAGATAGGGCAAAAACACTTAGGTATTAAATCATTTTAGATTCCAAGGACTGAGTGTACCCCATGTATCCTGATGTTCCTCCAAACCTGTGGTTGAAATCGTTAATCGGGAGAGTCATGTGTTTGACAAGAAAGTTGTTTCTGAGGGTTCGTATTTTTCATTTGTGTATAGGATGCTACATAGGATTTTCTTCGGTTTTGAGATAAATAAGAGTCAGTGGTAATCGTATATGCGCCTACCTACTTCTCAAAACAAGGGATTGCTCCGTTAAAATGTTTCCTTTTTAGAATTTTTGATGCTCCGAGTACTTTCAAATGCCTGACAGTGCTTTCTCAGTGCTCATCAACTACCTCAACCAGAGCTGTCACAAATACTGGTGAATAGTATTTCAAATACCAAGTATCAATTACGAGAAATTTATGTTGCAAGTACAAATACTAAATACTTTTAATTTAAAAAGTACTTCAAGTTTCAAGTACTTCAATTTAGTACTTGATTTTTTCGAGTAAAATAATTCAAAAACTCTGTAAGTATTTCAAATACTTACTTAATTAAATATTTGAAATACCTATATGTATTTCAAATATTAAGAAGTACTTCAAGTACCCACTAAAAAGGAATTCAAATTATTCAATGATTTTTTTAAAATTGTATTGAATGCTGAAAATACTTGTAATACCTCTAAAAAAGTACTACCTACAGAGATTCCAGATTCCAAGATTCCAGTTGCAGATTGTAGTTACTTTCAATTTAACGATTTAAAATTTATCTAGAAAAGGTTGATTAAGAAATAAAGTGCAGTGGGATTGTTTTAAGATATCTACCTATTTATTAAGGAAAATAAACTTTTACAAAAAATTATATTTCAACTCAAGAGGCAAAACCTAGGAAACCTATCCAAGGACTTTATACCTATACTGGTATCCTCTGCATATTGAGGAACTTCTAGTTCGTAATTTCTTTTAAGTATTGTTATTTTTAAAACTTTTCGGGGAGTGGGAACCATCCAGTTCAGAAAAATCGTCAGTCGTATCTGCTGATGTAGCATTTTCTTCGATGTCTGATATGTTTGTTGTTAAAATATTTTTTGTAATCTCTATATTTTCATCTGCCTTTACTACAAGTTTTTGTACGTATGAATTTATCGTCAAACTCAAACCACACTTCGCATTGATGCCAAAATACTTATTAGGACATGTTAATTTCACATTTTGTGAAGTATTTGAATTACTTTCTGGGGTATTTCAATTACTTTTCACTTTCTGGGGTATTTGAAATATTTCAAGTATTCTGAGTACAAATGCCCAGTATTTGAATTACTTTTTTGGCAAATGCAAGTACCAAATACAAATACTTTTTTTAAAGTAATTGCAGAATCAAGTACAAATATCCAAAAACAAAAGTATTTGAATTATAGTACTTCAAATACTAAAAAGTAATTGAAATACATTTTCCAAGTAATTTACTTGAAGTACTGACAGCTCTGACCTCAACAGTGTCAGAAACTAAGGAACAAATATTGAAGAATGTAGTCTCATAACCAGACGTAGGGACCCTTTTTTTGTATCATTTTGTAATGTAACATGAATTTGATTGATCCAACACTGCTGTATTTATTTCATTTTAGATAGTAGACCTACTTCCTAAGATCTGTATCAAAAAGATTTATTGATCAAAAGTTCCCCAGAATCTGTTTTGTTTTCATGTTTCTGCTAATGAAGCAGAACATTTTTTTTTAATTTGCTTAATTTTTGTCACTAAATAGAAATATTTTCACCATTTAACCTTCATTCCGCACGCCTATGATCACTCAGGTGGAGTAAAGCTGGTGGAAAGCTTTCTAACAAAGCGGCGTTGAAATCCTTTAGAAAAAATACATTTTTCCCTAAATTTAAGGAAATTTCGGCTTAGAATGGGCGTTGTCAATGGCATACAAACAATAACGTATTTATGATTGGTATGCTCACTCTATAGTTTTTTATTCCTCTGAGGTGGGGTGTCAATATATAAAAAAACAGCATGTACCATCGTCACCAAAAGTAACTGGGACAGCATCACATTAGCTCTTGTCCTATTATATGAATTTTATTGTCAAATATTTGTCAAACTATAATTTAAATGCATTGAAATGAATGACAGTAGAATTAGTCCAGGAGATTATTATGCATTATTTGTGTCCCAGATACTTTTGGTGACGATGGTACATAATCTTATTGATTTTGTATGAATATTAATTTATTAGAACAAACAAAAAACAATACATCAACTCAACGATTAATGATATACTGTCTGAGGTTAAAGTTCTTGGGACAAAGACAAAAGTGTGAATTTTGTATAGGTTTCCAGCTTTCTAAATGTTCATAAAACTTAAAATATGGTTTTGTTTTGTTTTTTTTTTTAAATTTTATTATTTTATTTTAAAAAGGTGGGGGCAGTTGCCCCACCTGCTTCCCACTGTATCCGCCTCTGTCTTGAGAGTAAATGGATCTTGGTCAATCAATCAATCACTACAAAAACTGAGAGAATGATTCAGGTCTAGATTATTTCACCTTTGCTTCTTTTAATATTAAAAAAATATTTCGTATATTTGAAAATTATTGATGACTCTTTAAAAGACATAAAAATTGTTTATTGATGGTTGATGGACTCTATTTAGATTAGAATGTGTGAAGAATATCAAGGGCCTGCAGTTGGCATGAATGTGTATCGGAAACGAGCTTATTTCGAAGCAATCGCAGTTGGCTGTTTGACATTCTTTCCACGCCTAATACCTAATTATTCAGTGTCTAGTGTCTATTTACAAAGAGATAGGTCACTGAAAATCGAAATTATTAATGAAGAACTGCTATTCTAAGTGCCATTAACTTTTTGGAGACGGAGTTTCCTTCAAAAATGGTCAAATTTTTAAGAATGTTTAAGTTTTTTCCTAGTGTCTTTTTTTTTGTATCAAATTTTGTCTATTCCAAGCTTTTGAGTTTTGATTTCCCACTGAACGAATGCCTACCAGGTAAAACTCAGTCAATACACAGCAAATTTCCAGGGTTTGTAGACCTAAACTGGGGTAAAATTGCCAGGAAATTTCAGTTTTCTGTGATTCAATAGAAGCGATGATAATCCAAAGTTTTCAAAAATTCATGTCCAACTTTTTTTTTTCCAGAGCTGTACACAACGTAGAAAAAATCTTCGAATGCAAGCAATGCGGAAAAACCTTCAAGAGATCCTCAACCCTATCGACGCACCTTTTAATCCACTCAGATACGAGACCGTACCCTTGCCAGTACTGCGGCAAACGTTTCCACCAAAAATCCGATATGAAAAAGCACACCTATATACATACCGGTAAGAATTTTTTTCTAATCAAATAAAATTTAATCGAGGCCAGTAAAGTTCTCCAAAGGCCGCAAACGCCACCCCCTTCTTGAAATTATAGCTTTCTTGTTGTCTAATTAGTAAATAATTCACTGGTAAGCCGCCCCCTGCAATTAATAAGAGCTTGTCAAGGAGAAGGGTTATAGGGCGCGCGAGAGAGATCCTTTTCGTTTTGCTTGGCCTTCTTGAGAAGAGGAGATTTCCTGTCGGCGGAGCTCTTTAAATTAATTTAATTAAATTTATTGTTGTTTTGTGCTCGAGAGAGGAGCGTGTATAAAAGAGTTTAAGTGCAAAACTTGTACTTATGCTATGGCCCTATCAGAATTGTTACGCCTCTGTTGCAGTAATCAAATATCTAGCAATTTTATAGCCTTTTGACCAATCACGTTCGAGAAAAACATAGATTCACTCCACATGAAATTTGAATAAACTATAGAGGATTTTTGGTAACATATGCAGTGATACTGACTGTAACGGGCCATTTGCTATCTTAATTTTATTAGCGTAGCGCCCTCATATGGAGAAGAATTCGAGGGAGCTCCCATCAGCCCCAATCACCTTTTATTAGCTATTAAATAAGACCGATATAATTGTCAGCAAAGGGAGGAAAATTTACATCAGCCCTCTAAAAGATTCATTGGTGTAATTTTCATGAGTGATTTTTTTTTTCTGTAAGATCTGTCCCTTTGCCCTCGCTTGCACGTAAAAGCTATCAAAATAATAAATAAGCCGTGCGCCCCGTTTCAAATAATAATTAGCGCCTCTTTTCTCGGCCCGGCATTCTTTTCTTGTTACCAAATCAATTAACGTCCTTCTCGTTGTTTCTTATAATTAGAATTTTTTTTTTCTCGCTGTGAGTCTAATTAGAAAAAAGTCCATTTTAAAAATTGCGAAATGGGAAAAAAAAACGGAAGGACTGATAAGGACAGGGGAGGAAATAATTACAGTGGCGCACTGTGACATTTTGACAGTAAATATTTTTATCTAGAAGTTTTCACTGTAAGGCCCTTCTGGCTTTCCGCTGGACGGACGGTCGGGTTTCGGTGGAATTTGCTCGAGCGCCACCCTTTGAGTTATTTGAAAGCGACAAAAGGATCGTTTTAACGGTAGACTAAAAATCAAACGAGAAGAAGCCACACGCGTTATCGTTTGTCTCACTTTAAATAGGAGGGACCCAGAGAAAAGGAAATCTGCCTTCTTTGTCAGCGATGACGTCAATGGCTTCTTCTCGTTTGATTTTTACTCTATATACTGGTATGAAATTCACTTTTCAACAAGGAAATGAAATCACTTTTTCGTTTTCACTTGGAGAAAAGAAAGTCACAATCGCCGCGGTTCTCTTCCGGGTATTTCGGTGGTCGGCGATCTAATACCACCAAACTTTCCTCTTCTCCTCGTTGAGTACTTCTCCCCATTTTGGTTGCGTCGTCACGGAACGGTGTCAGGTGGCGTGGTGGTACCTACTCCCGGCGTAAAAGCAGGGGGGTTATTCAGTAGCGGCGATAGTATCTCTAATAGGATCCGAAAATCGATTTGGATGCGGTATGTCAGTGGCGGGTAGCGGAAAGAAAAAAAATAGTAACTTCGTTACATTTCCTAACCATTTTTCTAGTATATTTGAGTTACCTATGTCATGAGATTCATAATACAACTAGTTGTGTTATGGACTAGGTCATGAATACATAACACAACTAGTGGTGTTATGGACTAGGTAATGAATCTATTAGACTATCCAAGATGCTGTCAAACCTAAATAAAAATGTCCGCCAAGAGGCACACAACCCCTTTGTTTGCTTGTCAAAGTCACATGTTTTGGAAAGACGACTAACCAATGTGCTGTCAAACTTAAATTAAAATGTCCGCCAAGAGGCCCACAAACCTTTTGTTGGCTTGTCACAGTCACATGTTTTGGATAGGCTAATATAACACAACTATTTTTGATGATTTGATAAGTAAACCTGTGAAGGTAAAATGAAGGTAGACAACTACTAATAAACGGAAATAATAGACCTATCTCGCATGATTTGAAAAAGAGAGCTTAATTGTAATTAATACAAGTTAGAAAGTAATAAAAGATGACATGCGCGCGCAATAGGGGGCTGCAATGTAGCCAGATTATATTGCTGCAGAACAAATGTAGACAATACAAATCGATCATTATAACATTAGAGAAGTGATATAGTGTCAAGTGTTTTACAACACCTTAAATCAGACAGAAGAAGAGCTTCAAAGTGGATGAACATCGTATGCACTTTTATTTTGATAAATGTTTCATCCGGCCACATTGCTCAATGAAATTGCAAAGGAATATGTCAAGTATAATCTAACATAACCTTAAACGATTCTGCGGTGAGTTCAAGTAATATGTAACTAATACTTTACATATTACTTGCTCTTTGTCGAATTACACGTTACTAAGAAAGAAGGAACGATTAATGCTGAACTGGCCCCTGAATAAGAATATGACGTAAACCTGTAACAAATTTGCTTCTCATTGAACGCTCACCTGCAGCCTAAAGATCGGTCTATTGGAAAAACATTCTTATTTCTCGCTTTGTAGATAAAAAGTTGTACATCACACGTGCGTTTAAACATGACCACAAAACTCGTGTGATTAGAACGACTCGGTCTACGACCTCGTCGTTCTAATCTTTCACACTCGTTAATTGTATTCATGTTCATAAACGCACTTGTATAATAATGTGATGTAAATAACTATTAAATATTACATAGATATGTTTTACAATAACCAATTTTCCCTTGTATTATCGTTTCTCTAACAAAAGTTACTGTCCAACGATAAACAAAAATATTATAACCAAACACTCGAATTGGCGCAGCACAAACACTTGTGCAACCTGTTCAAGATAAACACGAAACGTGCCGCACAAGTGGCTGAGTGGCTCCAGGAACAAGTGCACATCAACAGCTGCCGAGGGGCGGATTACGAAAACATCCCCCAGACTGAACACGGGGGTGGCTTTTTGTCCCCGGTTAAACTATTGTTGTACCCCGGGATTATTCTAAACGGTCTTGTTGTGAGATATAAGAGGCGAACTGGTATTAAAAAACAATATTGTTGCGCTTATTTGTACTGCAGATGTTCACTTTTTGGAAATAAAATTTCTGGATTTATATCTTGTCGAATTGGGAGCCCGATCAAACTATTAGGACTTGCAATTTATTATCTATGTTTTCATAGTTCATAGTTTCTATCCAAAATCCATACTTTATCTATGTTCAAGGTAATAGAATAATAATAATAATAAGAATACTTAGTTGAAAATTTTCAGGGTCTATTTTAAAGGGACTGAGGTAAGCGGCATTAAAATTTCAAGCGAATCGAAATAAGATTTACAAAGTTTTTGCAAATATGTAGTGTCACTCAAAAACTAACTTAAGTGTTTCCTGGAAATTTTCAGAGTTCATTGTAGAAACTTTGAGATAAACGTTGTAATATTTCAAGTGTCTTATTAGTTACTTTTTGGAAAATTTTAAGGGTTGATTGTAGGGGGTTTAAAGCTGGAATCCCATGGCGCGTACATGGCCTGACAATGTTACTTTACTAGTGACATAATGTGCCAACTTTTGTGATAAGTACAAATGAGTGGATTGTTTTGGAACTTATGAGAGGTCCACAACAGTCTACTCTACTGATATTCAAATTTTTATTACACCCTTTATGTGATTTACTGAATAATTTTTGTAAAAAGACTGAATCTCAAAAGCCAGTAACAGACTGAAACGAAATAGTATAGTCAATCTAGGCAGATTTATGCAGGTGAGGTAGAAAAAATTAGTAACAGAGTGATCTCTGCGAAAATGAGTAGTCGATAGGGTCCTAATTAATCCCTCAAAAATCGCACTTTGTCGCATCGGTGGAACTTGAAAAAAAATGGCCGCCATCTTGATTTTTTTCGGATTTATTGAATATTTCGTGAAGTATGCATTATATCAAAAAAACTCTAGAGTGCTTTTTTGTGGAGAATAAAAAGTTACTTATAATAAAAGAAATTTCAACACTATAAGCTGGAAAACAAAAAAGTTATTGGGAATTAATTTATTTAAAAATCTGGAAATTTTTGAACTTTAGGTAAAATCGCGAAATGTATGGATTTTTTTTAATAAAACTTAAGAATGCCTGTTAGTAGAGGATTAAAGATACCTATATTGAGATTAAAAAAAAACAACAGTAACTATCGAAAAGTTTGGTGTCAAAGGTTTGAAGCATGTTCTCAAGTCTGAAAAAAAAATAATACCCGTTTGAGTTTTTTTCAGATGTTTTGAAAAATTCCATGTTGCCAAATGAAATAAATGTCAATTACTTTTTCGTTTGCAGCTGATGGTCTCCCATTATAGGTAACTTTTGATTCTGCACAAAAAAGTCCTCTTGAGTTTTTTTGATATAATGCATACTTTACGAAATATTCAATAAATTCCAAAAAAATCAAGATGGCGGCCATTTTTTTCCAAGTTCCACCAATGCGACAAAGTGCGATTTTTGAGGGAATAATAAGGACCCTATTGACTACTCATTTCCGCAGAGATCATTTTGTTACTAATTTTTTCTACCCCAACCCCCTATTTTGACTAGCCTAAAAATCAAGAGCCGACATTTGTTCATATTTGATTAGTAGGGGCTCTTGATTTGCGAGATCATTGTTTAGTCCAGAGCAATTAGGGGTCAGGGGTAAACAAATTAGCTTAAAGCTGCCACCATCATTATTCGATAGCTTTTAGGTTCCCTATGAGCATACTAATGGCCATTTCCACCAACTATTTTAGGGAAGCCCTGACGATAGGTATGCCTTAAGGCCGCGTTAATGACCGCCATGTTCAAACTGTCATTGGTTGATTTTTCGAAACTTGTTTTAAGGTCTTTAAAAAAACGGCACATCAGAATTGGCTTAAATTTGGCATAAACATTATTTGATCGATTATCTACAATTCCTTATTTTGGTTTTTCGATA